CTCAAGTCCGCCCTGGGAAGACGGCTAGCACTAGAAGGGCTAAAGACCCCGAGCTCTGAGTTGGGCGTCTTGGTTAGACCCCGGAGGAACTGCGAAAAGGGTGCAACAGACCATAGTGAAGTATTCCACAACAAACGGGCACGTGCCACCAGATGAAGGGGACGGTGACTCATGCTAGGACAGGTTCCTGGAAAGCCACTACTGCCGACCCAGTGGGTCTGGGGTAGGCAGGTCGTACCACAAGTGCTACTGCTAATGCCGAAACGGGACTAGAGGAGAGGCAGGGCTGATGCTAAGACCCCAGAGCGAAGCAGTGATGCTGACACTGACGCGATCTACTGACATTCTGGAATAGCCGTAGGCAGAAAGAGCAGTGCTGGGGCTTCTAAACTCCCCTTGAGTTCACTACAGCCTAGCCTTCCCTAGCAGCCCGTGACTAATTCAGTCATCAGATCCCTGCCTTTTGGAAGCTTTCCAACCCTCCATCCCTCCCTGAGGGGAGAGGCAACCAGACAGGCCCTCATTCTGTGGTGGTCAGTAGCCAGGCGCTCTTGCTGAAACCCAACTTTCCCAAGGTTCACAGCTTTCTGCTTTCTCTGTTACCCTTTCTGTGGCTGACTAGAAATGTGTGGCTGGCAAGCTGTTGGGTCCCCCTCCTTCTGCTCCTTTTCCTGAGCCAGATGCAGGAATCCCACTGCGATTCGTCACCCATCCCTGCCCAGCAACTAGCAGAACCTCCCGCTCAGTCACAGGGTCCGGGTTCTTTAAGGTGTTTGGAAGAATGTGGCATTTGATGTGTGGATGTCTTGCTTTTAAACCACATCTAACTTGGAAATACATGCTTTCTCTTCCAGGCCAAGAAGGCCCTGAGGGGCAGCACCTAGGAGAGCTGTGGGAACAGCTGCCCTGTACCCATGGCACACGTGGACCGCTCTGGGAACTGAAAGGAAGCGTGGGCTTCGAAGTGTTTGTTTTTTTCTCAGCTTGAATGAACCCTGGCCAGGGCATAGTTTGTTTGCCAGTGGTGTGTGTGAGGATCTGGATTTGACTAAGATGTAACAGAAACAGCAATGAAGGTTATGTAATCCAGCCCTGTTTCAGGTGTTTGTGTAAGGAACTGGTCTCTCCCAAGGACACTGCATCCCTTCCCCCCCCAAAAAAAAAAAGCAGGTAGCAGGGCTGGACCACAAAACTCTGCCAAAGGGTCCCCATTTAAAACTGTTGTCACCAAGAGCTAGAGAGATGCTTCAACAGGTGAGACCACATGCTGCTTTTTCAGAGGACCCAGGTTCAGTTGCCAGCACCAACATGGTGGCTCACACCCATCTCTGATTCCAGTTCTAGGGGGTCTAACACCTTCTTCTGACCTCCGTGGGCACCAGGCACACATGTGGTACAGACATGAATATAGGCAAAACACAATATAAAATTAAAGAGTTTTCTTTCCAAGACAGGGTTTCTCTCTGTGACGGTCCTGGCTGTCCTAGAACTCACTTTGTAGACCAGGCTGGCCTTGAACTCACAGAGATCCACCTGCCTCTGCCTCCAGAGTGTTGAGATTAAAGGTGTGCACCACCACCTCCCAGCTAAAATGAAACCTCAAAAACCAAAACCCTACCACTCTCATCATAAGTATTTAGTCTAAGTCTAGCATACCAAGCTCTGGATCCAGATGCTTACAAGAAAAAACACACCAACGATAACACACAGCACCAGGGCAGGGAGCCCACAGTGTGAGACGTCCTGTGTAGATGGCTGTCCAGGAGTTGGGCAGAGGCTTTTCTGGACAAAAGCCATCAAGGAAGTTCTGCTTGGGGCTTTCAGTGAGGGAACAGCCATTCCTGCAGTCAGTCGGTCATGGACTTCCTTTCCCTTTTCACATGGGCAGTTTAAAAAGTTCAGCAAGGGATTCCACGTGTAGGAGTGACACCTGCTGGAAAACATGGGAACTGCGCGGTCCCGCTTCTAGGTGTGGAGGTCACGCTGTCCTTGAGCCAGTCTGTCTGCACCTGTCTCAGAGCCTTGGTACTGGGAACAGGGCCAGAGGCCATCATGCCCTACACTTCATGCCAAAATCTGCCACCCTGTGGCATTTAACTACAACTCTGGAACTGGCCTGGCTTACCAGGGTGAGAAAAGCCAGGGCTTTTTTGTTTAAAATTTGAGTGTTTTAGATGGATGTATGTGCAATGTGTACGGGCCTGGTGCCAGGGAGGCCCAAAGAAGGTGTTGGATCCCCTGGAACTGGAGTTAGAGATGGTTGTGAGCAACGTGTGGATGCTGGAAGTCAAACCTGGGTCTTCTGCAAGAGCAACAAGTGCTTTTAACTGCTGGGCCATCACTTCAGCCTCTAGAAAACCTGTGTGATGGATCTGAGTCCACCTCAAGACATGACTTCTTGGCTATTGCAGAGAGACAGGTCAGCTAGTTTGTCCCAGTGGACAGTGATGTCGGGTCTCAAGGAACCTGAGCATGTGACTCTGGACAGTCCACCCCTCCTGCTGCTGCTCAGGGACACAGCTAGACTGTCTTCCCAGCCTGCCACACCATCTTGAAGCCCTCCTGACACTCAGGCTATAGGTTCTTCCAACTTTGGGCCCCACTGAGCTCAGGCCCCTCCAGTTTGCTGGGCAAACGTTCTCTTGCTGTCTTCATCCTCCCCTCTGAGCTGGCAGACATCCACTGCTTTTCATGGCCCAGGCCTGCAGACTCAGCAATCAGGCCTGCAGGGCTCACTTCTTCCACGCTCTCATGGTTTGAATATTAGATTCCTACAGATGAACCCTATTCCCATGGACTAGTGTTAGTGAAGTCTTGGTCCCCAGCTAGAGGTTCTATTTTGGGAGGTTCTAGAAACTTCAGGAAGTAGGTCACTGTGGGCATTCTTTAGTAGGTTGTGCCTGATCCCCGGTTCCTGTCCAACAGGATATGGAAAACCTCTACCATAGGCTCGTGCTGCTGTGATATCCTGACTGGTCACATAGACCCAGCATCACAGTACTGAAACTGAGCAAAAGAAATGAAGTCGTTTTCAGGTACTCAGGCCACAGCTGTGCAGGCACCTTTGGCCTTTGCCCCTGTATTATCCCTAGGCCTCCAAACTGTCTGAGGAATGCATTCACTGGCTGCTGGAGAGACAGTTTCTGCAGCTGTGTCAGCCGCACAGCACCGGCTGCTTAAGTGTGCTGTCAGTCTGATTGGGCTGTTGTGGTAGAATACTCAACCAGGGGATTACCAGGGATGAAAATGCATTCCTCACAGCCTCCCAAGCCCAGAGGTTTAAGGTCAAGGTCTGAGGACCTGCCTGCTGACTCTTTAAGGGACAGGAACACAGCACAAAGGTTGCCCCAGCAAGGGCACTAGTGACCTTTGTATCCTAAGCACTTAAAACATCCTCCTGGTACTCTTACTTGGAACCCCTGAATGTTAGACCAATTATCTTGGTCTCAGATGAGATCGATTGTTCTTTTTTGTTGTTTTCAAGAAAAGGTTTCTCTGTGTAACCCAGGCTCTCACTATGCAGACCAGGGTGGCCTTGAACTCAGAGATCTGCCTGCCTCTGCATTCCGGAGTGCTGGGTTTAAAGGTGCGCACAACCACTTCTTGGCTATCTGTTGTTCCTTTTAGAACTTGAGCTCCACTGTTTCAGCCCTGCTCTGTTGCCCTGGTAACAGAGCATGCACCCTGGCCTGGTAGCGCTGCTACCAAGCATACCTGTTCTACAGCAGAACCCTCGTGGGTGGACACAACATCCCAGTGTCCTATGCCAGGTGACCAAACACCTACTACAGGCCGCAGCTGAACTGGCAGGTGGCTCCCTGGTGCCCCGGCACTTGTACTGGAAGTACAAGTCCCCTGCTGAAGGCTGCTTACAGAAGGGTTAGAGAAAGCAGCTAGGAGGAAGAGCTGGGGCAGAGGCAACCCTGTCTGCTCTACGATAGACTCTCAGCGGACCACAAACGCCGAATTAAGGGGGGATTTTCCAAAATATCAAGCTGTGTGAGAACCCCAGTTCCAGCAAAGTGATAAGAGTTCCAATCCAAGAGGATGGCCAGGTGGCATCTAACTGCCAAACAGCTTATTTGGAACTGTTTTTAGTCAGACAGGCTAGGAGGAAGCTGAGACTGCCCATCACAGGCACTCCCTTCTGTGTGAGCTACACTTGGTCCTGCCCAGCACAGTCGCACAGGACCTGTGGAAGCTTTTCTAGTTTTTCAAGCTGTCCAATGAATGACATCTTTAAAAATTGTAATGAGGGCTTGAGAGATGGCTCAGTGTTTAAGGGCCCTTATTCTCATAGAGGATGCAGGTTTGGTTCCCAGCACCATATGGCAGCTCAAAACCATTCGTAGCTCCTGTTCCAGGTATCTGACACCCTCTTCAGACCTCCAAGGGC